TCAAAATTATTTAATTAAATTTTGATAAATTCGAATAGATTCGCATTTTTCAAATTAAATTCAATTATTTTATAAATATTTTTTTAATACTATCTAGTCAAGTAGCAAAGTTTGCATATTTCAAATAAATTCGAATTAGTTTGAATTGCATCGAAATATTTCATAATAAATTATGTAATATTTCGTAATATATTTCGTAATATTCCGTAATTAAAAATTTCGAAATATTCTGCATCGATCGTAATTATTGCGAAATTTTTCAGGGCGGAATAACTTTCGTAAGATTACGTTTATATATTTTGCTGATGATAGTAAAGCATTGAATAATAACTAATAACTAATAATAATACAAATAAACTAATAATATAATATGTATTAATATAATAAAAACTATTTTATAACAATATGAGTTAGGTGCTAAGAAAAGGTATAAAATTGACAAAAAAAAGATTTTCAGAAAATCAATTTTTATATTATAAATCTTATAATAAATCATAAGAAAATGCAAACTTTACAACTACTTTTGCATCTTAAATGAAAAATGATCTTACTCTTATTCTAAATTGATTTATGCAAAAAAATAGCTTTTAAAAAATTGTTAATTTTATCCCTTTTTTCAGCACCTAGCCCATATTCTTGTCAGAATATACTAACTCTTAAAAATATTAATAATCCTAAAAATACACTTAATAAAAATAATAAACCAAAGAAACTAGCTTAAACCAAAAATATATCAATATATAAATAAAAAAAAAGTATACTATTTTATAATCTTTATATTTAAATATTTTTTTAAATATTTTAATTTTTAATAAAAACAGATCAAATATAGTATAAAAATTTTAATATTTTAGCAACCAAATTTGCCCGCTAACTACTGATGGTTTAAGAGATACTAGATAAACAAGTAAAATTAAAATTTTCAATTAATTTTTAAAAATTAAAATTTTAAAAATTAATTTAGATTAATTAAACTTGCACTATACGTACTACATTATCATAAATACACATGCCAAATTCATACGTATATTAATAAATATATTAATAGATATATACAAAAGAAAATTAAATATGTAAAAATGGTTTAGCCAATTATATGTATAATCGTATCGATATCTGATACCTGATATCTGATATTAGAATACACGTATCAATAAGTATCCTGTAAGATATAAATAATTAATAATTTTAAGCTTTTTAATTGACAAAATATTAATAATTCATGGCATAAAAGATCGTATTAAATACAAAATTAGTTAACAAGGAACATTTTTTGATCGTTACGATAAAAGAATTTGAAACAAAGATTTAAACTGTACTGTACTGACTACGTATACTGCTACGTATATGTATCGATATAATTTAACACCTTAAAAACTAAATTGTAAATGATTTGATAAACCAATAGAAAAAAAACGATGGTTTAACTCATTTCTTTTTTTAGACAAATACCGGATGTATACGTAGTTATTTTTTGACCAATTAGCATTAACCATGTATGGTGTTAACCAATTATGGTGTTAACCAAGTATGGTGAGAATGTTCTTAGCCAAGAAGTTTTTATCACGTAGGTACGTACGTACCCAAATACAACAAAACTTTCTAATTAAGCTTTTACTTCGTTTCGAGTTGTGTAAATTCACAAGCTTAACTTTATCTTGCTGCGCAACTTTCATATTTAGGCGCAGCACATAACGTTATACCAAGGTTTTTTTTAACGATCTTTGGTTGTAATTCACACCTGTCAAAATTCTGTCAAAATGCTGTCTAACGGTTTTTTATTGAAAAAAAAAAAAATCACACTTAAACCAAAGCTAATTCAATTCGTTCTTAGAACCAATTCATTTATTACAAATACATTAACCGCAGTCCGCAGTATTTCAAAAGTAATTTTAATAATAACTTTTGAAAATAAACCTTTATTAACGTAGCGAAACAATTTTTAATTCACACAATGTAATTCACAAATGATATAAACGTAATTTCTTTTTTTTTTTTATTCAGTTCACAATCAATTTAATCAATCAATTACAATTTAAAAAAATCGAAAATGATACAAAAAAAAAAGGAAATATATAATCTTAGAGGAAAAAAGGGAATGTTTTATTCAAGCGTAATACTTAAAAAGAATTAAAGAATTGTGGTTTGTAACCATATTTAAAAATTTTTTCGTAACATCATGTTTCACTTTTACTTAGACCCACCAACATCATTCTCAAGAACTACTTTACTCGTGACTACGATAACTTTTTCAACGGATTAAATCATCAATCATATATACATACATAATACATACATATATTTATATATATATACGATAAACCAACTTAGGTAAATAGGAAGTATCATAAACGATAAGAATGCGAATGGGGGAAAGAAAAAAAAAATTCAAAGATCCCATTGATAAAAAAATAAAAAATTCCCTCCAAAAAGTGATTTCTTTCATCAGGAAAGAAATCCAATCACGTAAAATAGATATTGTTGTAAGATAAAAAAAAATTTTTTTTAAAAAAAAGAGTTCAATTTGTAAAAAAAAAATCACCGAAAATAATTCGGATGTATATAAAGATGCAACAAGAAAATAAGAATAATAAATAATGCTAAATCGTTATATAATAAAACAAAAAAAAAGATTTTTTTTTTTTTTTTTTAAAATGATTTTTTCATCAAATGGAAGGGGTCCCAAAAGAACTTGTAAAGGAAACATCGCAACGTTCTTCTTTCATGTTGAAAGCAAAATCCGACGTCCTATAACCGCAACGGAAAGCAAGGCGAGAAAAGGCAAGCAAGATCAAAGATATGCGCCTTTAAATTAAAGCCCTATCGGAATCTGTACACGGCCCTTTTGTTTGCGCATTTTTTTTTTCTTTTTTTTTTTTTTTTACATTTGCGAACACAAACACAGCCGGGATGCAGATTAAATTTTTTGAAACGAGAATTTTTTTTGGACAAAGAAAAGTTGTTTTTTTTTTTTTTGCCATGAGTGATATAATTTTGATTTTAAATCACTTAAGTTACATCGCAAAAAAAATAATAATAATAAAGATAATAATAATAAAATAAAATAAAAGTAAAAAAGAAAAAGAAAAATATATTTATAAAAAATTGGATCACTATGGCATGTATTTAACAACTACGGGATAATAAAAAAAAGATTGGTAGAGTCCATCAAAAAAAATATTTATTCTCGGAAAAATTACGCTGCGTTTCAAAATTGTTTTTTCTAACCACAAGAAAAAAAGGAAGTAGGTTTTTTTTTTTTTTAAAAAAAAAAAAAAAATAAAAAAAAAAATAAAAATCGAATTTTACATTTTTCCACAGGTGGCGTTATGTCTCTTCCATGCATCTTTACGGGAAAAAGGTTTTCGGCAAACAGTACATTCGTGGACCTTTTCACCCTTATGAATCCCATTAATGTGACGTTTTAGATCATGTTTTCTGGTGAATCTTGAACCACAATTAGGATGTTCACAAGCGAATGGTTTGACACGATTAGGATCATGAGTAGTTCTATGAGTTTGCATATTAAATTTTCTATTGAAACCACGACCACATTCAGGGCAGTTATATTTTTTATCGTCACCATCATCTTCAACATCATCATCATCGATGTCTTGTGAGACACTTCTTTTTTGACGTTTACTACGACGAATTGGTTCTGAATGCTCACCAGATTCACGAGGTCTAATAGGAACCAAACGTGGAGTATTTGCAGGAGTAGTATGAGCGGAATCACTAGAATGATTAGGAGATTTTGTTCCAGAATTATTATTAACGTCAATAGAATCAATGTTAGAAGGACGTGGATCAATTTCGGAAGCATGTTCAGGAACAGCTAATGAAGGAGATTTTTCGGAAGTGGAAATAGAACCACTGCTTGGGGTACCAGGGACTACAGCAGCTTCAGAAGAGGAAATATCAAGTTTCTTTTCAATATCATGAATATCCATTTGGGAAATTGAAGCCATGTTACAATAAGAAATAGTAGGATTATTATTTGTATAGAATAAAGGAAAAAAATCTTCTTTTGAAAAACTATCGAATAACACAGGATCCTTGCAAGCACGAAGATAACTCTGATCAAGGAATGGAGTATCAGGAGTTTGAGGAGGAAGATAAGGAGTTGTGTTTAGAGACGAAATACCGGAGTAACAAGGCTCGTCCCGATAAGGGGTATATGGAGTAGAAATAGAAGTAGTAAAAACTTGAGGAGTACCCAAATCAGAGTAAACCGGAGTTCCGATTGCTTCGTTAAATAAGTTCACGCCAGAAATATTTTGTTGCTGTTGTTGAGGAACTCCAATATTATAAGATATAGGAGAATTTAAAAGAATATTGTCTTCTAATAAAGGAGTATAAGGGGATGAATGAGGAGTGAAGACGTTATTTGTCTGAAGATTCAAAGATGGAGTGTTTATAGAATTCCCGTGTGGCGAAGTTAGAATCTGAATCGATTGGTCCAAATGAGTGTAACCAGAATTTTCTAATATTGGTGATGATTCAATGTGACTATTGAGGGGACTATTAAAATTGGAACCGACAGACTCTACAATGGCCTGTTGAGGACTGACATGAAAAATGTTTGGGAAACCATTATTCAAAAATTCAGAAGTAGAAGTTTCTTGTGAATAAATAGTAAAGTCTTGAATATCGGGATTATTTATGAAAATAGCAGTAGAGTTGTCGGTGTCGGAAATCGTCGATTGAAATTGAGGAGAGGTTACCACCATTACTTGTTCGGGAGTATATAATTGGAAAATTTCTTCAGACATAAATTGATGTTGATTAAGAAGGTCGTTTTCGTTTATCGGACTTGTATCCACAACGAAAATGTTTTTTGTGTTGCTGAGATCCAAGTTCACGAAAAACCGATAAAAAGATTGTTTTTTTTTTTTTTTTGATACAAATAAAATGAATCAGATTATTTAAACCCTTCTTTGTAAGGGTAGATTTATATTAGAGGATTGTGTTCGTTTCTAATAAACGAACAGTTAAGACGAACGAAAGAAGATTTGCGTAGATAAATATTCTACGAACTCACTAATAAACTTACTTTGTAAGTTTTTTTTTTTCTTGTTTTTTTACGAAAACAAGTATGAAATAAAGATATAAAAAAAATAAAATATAAAATTTTTCGTTAAAAAAATTATTTGATGAAGGTAAGAAAAACCTCTGATGGTAGAGAAATTGGAAAAAAGGAAATTTGCTGGGTTTTTATGTCTACTTTCTTCCGCTTTCAAAATAATGTAATATAAATAATTAGATGAATAATGTTTAAATAAGTTTAAATATTTAGATTACACCATATATATAAATTACCAAATCACAATTTTGAGTACAAAATGGTGCAAAAAAGGTACCAAAAAAGGATTATGTAAATTAAAGCAACATATAACAACATATAGGGGATTATTCAACTTCTAATCAGTGATTTTCGAGGAAACCGCAGTTCAGCATGATTTTTAACTTTAGTAGTGAATTATTTTGTGAATCTTTTGTGAATGGTAAACAATGACACAAAAAATGCCGAAATAAATTCCGATTGTTGAAAAGAAATCAGTAATTGGTTACTAACGTCACGAAATAAATTCTTGTAATTCTTGGAAAAATTCTTGGAGAAAGGGCGCGCTATAATGGCTGAAATTTTGTTCATACGTTTACGGAATGACGTAGAAAGAAGAATCATGTTATAGGGACCTGAATTTAGAACAAAAAAGGATACAGAGTATACAGAGTCTTAAATTGGCGTGGCGAAAACTAAAGAGGAAAAATGAGGTTCCAACATTTCATTCTTTTCATATGCATTCGGGGTTCAAATTCCGATTCAGGAGGTCAAACGAGTTCCCTGCATCCAGACCTCATGGCATTATTAACATTTACTAATTTTATTTACCTGACGCACCACGGATAAACAGTCAAGCACCAATAAAATTGTAAATAGTTATCCTTGTGCAGTTAAAACGGTCAATAGTGGTCAGTCAATGGATTATCAATTGACACATAATGCATGATTATAAATCCAATTTATTTAATTGTTGATAAAAATTGCCGGAGTTTATCTTTGACTTTTTTTGAATGTGATTTTAAAGTTATAATCGGTTTTTTTTGGTGATAAGAATTTGATAAAATATCTGATATATGAATTTAAATGAGTTTCTAATTATGTTATTTTATATATACGTATAAATACGTATAAATATATACGTATCAATATATTCTTTATATTCATCATATTCATTATATTCATTATATTCTTTAAATTCATTATATTCTTATTTTTTTCTATCACTGTGGCGTCTATCACTGTGACTGATTAAAATATCCGGGCTGAACACAAAATTTATCGGAGTTGTTCTCCGTTATTAAGGATTATAAAAAAGTGTAATAAAAAGTATATTATTATTAGTAATCGTTGGTTCTTATTTCATATTAACGTAATTTTTTTTTATTTATATTATTTTCTATTGTTGAACATGTGATAAGGTTTCTGGTAAATTTAGGCTCACAAATTTCCGCTATCTTATCAATATTTAATCATTACATTTTTTTTTTTCTACAATGTTTCACGTGATCATCACGGCAAGAAATAGTTAGCGTTAGTATAGTTTTTGGATTGCCAAGATCTACAATTGGCAAGGCGCACGTGTGGTTTTAAATAAAGTAATTAGTGTTATAAAAGATCATCGTGCATTTTAAAAATCAAGCAGGATTCTAGATTAGTCGTACAAGTGCGTAGACAAGAATGTATACAAGAATGAATACAAGAATGTATACAAGAATGTATACAAGAATGCACAAGAATACATCAGAATATACAAGATTACGAAATACCAACAGAGCGGTAAACTCCATGTCAAATTTCAAAGTAAGGGATTAAAGGCATCTTTTTTGATGAATGTATGCTAGGCGACTTCAATTTTGTTAATATTAACAATGATGATTAAATAATTTTACAGTACGTGTCGGTATATAATTCTTCTCGGCGAGCCCAGTTTTCAGTAATCAATCTTCCGGATTGATCCGGCGTTGTTCAACAGATTTAGAAATCAAAAGAATCAACTACCATTATATGCGTACGTACGTAAGTTGATTATCTATGCACATGAAATATTTTACATATATAGTAATGTATTAATGAATCATTACTTCTCGCTACACTTGTCATTACACTTATCATTACACTTATGCAAGCTAAAAGTTTTGTTCCATAAAGCGAGTTTATTTATATATTCCTACTTCCCTTAATATTATCAGTGTAATATTATTAATTATTAATGTGTGTATTAATAATAATTATAATTATAATAATATTATTATTATTACTGTATTATTATTATTAATCTTATCTATTAATATTATTTAATATTATTCAGACTGTCAGATTGTTCCTCTTTGGATTAATTAATCCGGATAAACTTGACTACCTAGCTTTATTTACCATAACTGGCCGCCTTTGGGAATGTTTGAACTTTAATTACACAATCTACACACATCTACACAACCCACAATATACCATGTCATTTATAAACACACACGTATATCTATATATATATATATATATATTATTAATCGTTATCAGTTTGAATCTTGACCGTCTTTATTTTGTAAGTCCATCTTATCTGTCTTTGACTGACTCTGTTCATAAGTCATTTGATTGCAAATGTTACATGCATACATGTTGATTTTCTGCGGCAACTGCGGTTACTTACTCTGGGGAGGTCTGTTCCCGTGTAATGTGACACACTCTTTTTAAAGTGCTTGGCGGGGAGGGTAAACCAGCCAGTCCGATTGTGAATCCAATAATTGTCTTAAATTATTTTAAGGTTTACCCAATGAAATTACAATAGATTACAACAGATAAGTATGGTTACTCTAGATAAGCATTTTCTTTTATATCACTTTTTTTTCATTTGATCTGCGTTAACATATGTTCCATATGTTGAATGGATTGTTCCAAAAAGAAGTTTACACGACTTTGAATCTTTGTGGATTGTGATTGATGTGCGTGCCACACAATGGCTCATGCTACAATTAATGTGACTATTATACTTGTACTTGTTACTTATACTTGTGTAATAAAAATTTTTGTACATTCGTAGGAATTTCCGATCGTTAATATCATATGTACAGTACGTATGTATGTATGCATATTTGTACATACATACGTATGTGTTTAACCTATGTGTATAAACAAACATGTATAAACGATATAAATATATATTAAACGTATATAAATGTAAAGACTTTTAACATTAATCTGATTAATATGATCATTATGACTCATTTTAATTTGCTTTTGAAATAATTAAGGGGGTGTGTAGTGGCATTTCATGTTTCAAGCCACGGCATTGTAATCTTCCATGTGGAAAATCGAAAATCGATTCATTCATTCTTTCTTATCAGCCACCATCAAGTTACGTCACCAATGTCCAAAAAAAATCTGTCAACTTCTTTATAGAAAAAAATATATCTTTATATAGTTCTCTATATATTTCCCTAAAAAATTTTCTCTAAATTTTTTTTTTTTTTTTTTTTTTTTTTTTTTTTACTGTATTATCACGCATTACACAGCATCTAATGATCTTTTTATTTATTCATACCTACCTTAATTGTGAAATTCATGAATTGCATGAAAAATTCATGAATTTCATTCTTTTAAAATTATAACCTTGATTTGTAATATAAAAAGTTTCGGTTAAAGTTGTATACGGAGGTCCCCGTGATGAACATTCTTTTGATCAAAGATCTACTTAAACTCATTTTATATACGTATTTCTATTCAAGGTTAGAAAAAAAATATTCATGACTTTCCATTTGTAATTAACACTCGATTTACTCAATTTTCAAATTTACTTATCATTACTAATTATTGTTTACAATATCGACTATGGTACATTCTGTACATATTTGATGAAAATAAAACCTACCTTGGGTAAATTGAATCTTTAACACATTCGGTCATGTCCGGAATACTTTAACTCATGTTCATGTGATGCTAATCTTTTTTTTATCAAGTAATCAAAAGCATTTATTTATTTATTTTCTCTTTCTTTTTTGGCTATCACGTATTGTCTTTTTTTTTTAACCCAAAATTTCGTCATTATCATTATTTCATTATTCAAAAAAATTTTTTTAACATACGAGATCATATGAATCTTTTTAATCATTTTACCGGTAGTTTTTTTATTGGTTATATAGATTAATGTACATACATACGTAAATGCGTACGTACGTATGTAAATGCGTACGTAAGTACGTACGTAAATGCGTGTGTACGTAATAGAACTTACAAATACCAGATAATTCTTTTACGATAAAACTATAACGGAAAGCTTATACAAACCATAAATGCTAAATAAATTAAATAAATTCATTGTAAATGCTACATATCATCTTTTTTTATTTAGAGTACGTACCAGGTACGTACGTACGTACGTACTGTACAGTAATTCTTATTCGTGTATAAATGCTAATAATTCCAAAGATAAAAAAAACTTCGGGTGTCACAGAATGCTTTAAAGATTTATTTGTACCACGGGAGTTATTTCTCCGTTTAAAAAAAATAAAAATAAATTTATTTCTAACCATATTTATATTAACTTTCTAATCGGGATTCAAATTTTTGTAATAACTAATACTTACGAACTATACATGCATACTGTTATGTGTATATATAATAGTACTATTATAGTATATATATATAGTATAGTCTATTACTGTATATATAGTATAGTTTTATTATTTTTATTATAGTATGTATGTATAGTATATA